TCTGACTATTGTGACGTTACCGGCCAATCTTAAGATGACCAAATACCCTGTCCACACTACCTTAGAGGGTCTCGTTGGCTTCCCTACTCCTAATCAGCATACCTCTCCGCTCTGACCCTGTTCTTTTCATACTTTGCTGTCATCATTCCTTCTTTCCATCGGATTGCATTTCTTTAACTAGACAGTCAACTCTGTACTTTGCATTAATCTAATCTCCTCTGACCAGTCACTTGCTTACTGACTGCATCCATACTACCGAGACCTAAATGATCTAGGCACTACATATACAATGCACCGATTCCCTTCACCTGAGAAGCTACTAGGAGTTATTCCTGGTTCCACTATCCTATACTCTTTTAGAATGTCAGTATAACTTACCTTCGCTGGCTTGTTGATATATTCTGTGACACTGTAGGAATCCACTAGTGACCAAACTGCCTAATGGAATGGCTACATCTGGCCACCGAAAGTTTTCGTGGCGCCATTATCTGCCTATCCTCTTAACCTCAGCACCTCTCCTTACTAGCAAACAGTAGTCGTAGGCTCCACGCATCTTTGCACATATTCGGAGCTTGCTAATAGTCACCCTCTTCTATCTCTAAGCTTTAATCTTTGTGACTGTCTGCGTCACATTCATTCGCTGTCTGTTGACTTATTCTGGGACACTAGGTATCCACTAGCCACTAGAAGGCTTCACCCCAATGCTATTACTAGTCGTCGATACTCTCTATCTCGCCTAGTAGCGTTGTCGGTTCTTCGTATTACGTCACCACATTTCAGCTGCAGCGAGTCATTGTTGGTAGCATACATTTTTGCGCTAGGAGCCTCTCCTTAACTCTACAATTCTTGCACCCTCGAATTGTTAGTATCACATCCCTTTGCTGTTTGTTGACCTTCTGTCATTGTAAGCGTCCAATAAAAAAGTGGAAGTCTTAATCGAAATCAATTTCTGTCCACTGGTTCTCTCTCCCCTTCTTTGCACAATTATCCTTCGTTCTTCTTATCTTCATCACGTTTCCTGCAGTGATTCATTGTAGGCTCCATACATCTTTGCGCTTATCAGGAGCTACTAGGAGACATTCCTTGTTTCTCCATCCTGCTATCTCTCAGAATGTTTGCAGCACTTACCTTCGCTGGCTTGTTGATGTATTCTGTGACACTGTAGGAATCCACTAGTGACCAAACTGCCTAATGGAATGGCTACATCTGGCCACCGAAAGTTTTTCGTGGCGCCATTATCTGCCTATCCTCTTAACCTCAGCACCTCTCCTTACTAGCAAACAGTAGTCGTAGGCTCCACGCGTCTTTGCACAAATTCGGAGCTTGCTAATAGTCACCCTCTTCTATCTCTAAGCTTCAATCTTTGTGACTGTCTGCGTCACATTCATTTGCTGTCTGTTGACTTATCCTGGGACACTAGGTATCCACTAACCACTAGAAGGCTTCACTCCACTGCCATTGCTAGCCGTAGATAAGCTCTATCTGTCCTAGTATCCATATCAGTTCTTCTTATTACCTACGTCACCACTTTTTAGCTGCAGCGAGTCATTGTTGGTAGCATAAATCTTTGCGTTAGGAGCCACTCCTCATCTCTCCAAAACTTACGCTCTTGAAATGTTTGCCGCACATACCTTCGCTGGTTTTTGACTTATTCTGTCACTGTAGATATCCAGTGGTAATTAGTAGGCCTAATCCGGATGCGCTTGCTTGACACTGATACTCTCTCCTAGCTCTACATCTATCACTTTCCTTATCCTCCTTACCATTTTGCAGAGATTCGTCATAGGCTCTTTGTCCCGTTTGCGCAGATCTTGAGCCTGCTAGGATACACTCCTTGTCTCTCCATCATACATTCCCCTGGAAAGTATTTCACTTACCTTCTCTGGTTTGTTGATGCATTCTATGATCCTGTAGGTATACACTAGGGATCAAGCGTTTTGTTGGAATGGCTACAACTGGCTACTGGTAACCTTTCCTAGCGCCACCATCGGTTGATCAGCTTAACTTCGGCACCTCTGTTTAGTAAACAGCTAGTGGTCGTAGGCCTCATGTATTTGCGATTCCTGAACCTTTATTCCTTTAGACTATTTGCATCCAACCTTCCCGCCAATTTAACTTTAGATGTCTCTTGAAGCAACCTATCTATCTTATTAGCACCCTAGCATAATTCGAGAATCTGCGCGTCGCCGTTTCTTAGCCTCTATGCTCTGAACCAACTAACAGCTGCATTGTATGCTTGCGCATCATCCATTCGCTGTCCTACTTCATGAAACCTTTCTTAGCTCTCTTCTGTGGAGCAAACATAACTCAAGTAGTCAGCGCACGGCGCTCCTTTCTAGACGTTTATCTATCTCGCTACTACTCGCTACGTATATGACCCTTACTTATACTAAAGTCCAGCCCTCTCACCTGCTTTTCCCGGCACAGGCTTTCTTGCTATGAGGCACAGCGGTCACCTACTTCATCTGCGACACTCAATCGATTGTAGTTCAGCTCTCTCACTAGCTTCTCCCGGCTCAGGGCTCCTTAGATATATTCCATTAGCACCCCAGCATGGTTTGATTAGCTGCGCGGCGCTGCGTCTTAGTCTATTATGCTCGAACTATTTAACAACCTCATTGTATGCTTGCACTTCATCCGATGTCCTTCTATCACGAAACCTCTCCTAGCTTTCTTCTGTCGTGCAAGCATATCCATGTACTCAGCGCAAGCCGCTGTTTTGCCTCACATTTCTAGATCTTCATTTATCCCTTACTCGCTGCATTGTCTTAGGCATTATACATGCACTCCTCCAAGTCTCGTGCTATCATTCCCTGGCTCTATCCAGCTTGGTACTATTATCTTAGCACCCAAGCTGCTGCGGTTAGGCCTCAGGTTCTGATATCCTCAGCAACTTTAATGTACGCTTGCATTCTGGCTATTCGCTGTCCTTCCGTCAATTAACCCTTCTTAGCTTTTTAGTTCAGCACTCCTCTCAGCGTTATTTCCAAGTGGCGGATAGGACGCTCTCGACACGAGGCCTTCACACTCCTGAAAAGTATACATAAACCTGAAACCTGCAGACGCAAGAAACTGCTATTTTGCTCACCTGGACACTCACAAAACGGTTCTTCGTGCAGCTCCCACCCTCCATTGGCCTCAGCCATTATGGCGGCCCTGACAAACGATACCTGCTCAACTAACAGAGGAAATTGGAAGTCAATTGACCGTGGATACCCGAGGGTGAAATCAGTCGGCAAGCTGCCCTGCCAGATATATATTAGTGTACAAACTGATTTCTGACAGTGTTCCAGGATGTGGTGGGTTTTTGCCTGGCAAGCGTTCTCCTTACAAAAAGCCGCAAATGTCCGTTTAATAACACGGCGACGCGGCGCATATGACTCGCCACTGAATACAGTCACCGCCCACAACTATATACTGGCAAGCCGACTTGAATCATAATTTAATATTTTACTGACACGTTCAGGAATAAAATACGCCCTGCCTATATATTTCGTTTTCACTACATATATAGTGCCCTGACTGTTTACACTAGGCATGCTAGAACCCAAATTATCGTCATTCATTGACGACTTTATTCCTCATGCTTAGTTTTACAATTTCCGCAGCCGGTACAGTTTTCGGCTTACTGCCGATTACATACATAGCAACGTGTTTGTTGCAAAGCGGAACCACATGCAAATGTTGTTCATGCCTAGTTTGGCTTGTCTTGACAAATTCGAGAATAAACTATTTATTTATTTATTTATTAAAACGGACTCCTTTTGGCCAAACTCCAAGCCCGCTGCCTCGCCATCTGCTTTTTGAGCCAAAAGCTTTGGTTGAGTACCTAAATCGTTCTCCAGTCTAGGCAAG